TCTTATTGGCATGCTCTCCATCGTCTCCTTTGCATCCAGCCAGAGTTAATCTTTAGCTAAGTTATCACTGCCATGCAACACCTTCTGCTCATTAAAAGTGGCCGCTGGTGGGAGCTTTATGGCCCTCTGGCTGTGCCTGTTATCAGAAGGGAAAGAGACCCAGGTGTGGCTTGCTTGCCCTGTGACTTCAAAGGCATCAAAGAGAACCTGTCCCCTTTGTAACAACTACTATCTCCTTTGTATTCCTTACAGGGCAATCTCAAGGGCCACCTACTCCTCCTACCACTCCTAAAACAGATGTCCAGCCTGGTAAGCAGGACCTGAAGCGGGAAGGTCGCCCATTGCAAGAAGGAGGAAGACAACCACCCCATATTGACTTCCGAGACGTGGACATTGGGGAACTCAGCAGTGATGTCATCTCTAACATTGAGACTTTTGATGTTAATGAGTTTGACCAGTATCTCCCACCCAATGGCCACCCAGGAGTTCCAGTCACCCATGGTCAGCCTGGCCAAGTCACCTACACAGGCAGCTACGGGATCAGTAGCACCACAGCTACCCCAGCAGGCACTGGGCATGTCTGGATGTCCAAGCAGCAGCAGCAGCAGCCACCGCCTTCTCAGCAGCCACCCTCCCAAGCTCAGCCACAGCCACCGCCCCCACCACCGCCGCAGCACACACTCACCACCCTGAGTAGTGAACCAGGTCAGCCTCAGCAGAGGACACATATTAAGACCGAGCAGCTCAGCCCCAGCCATTACACTGACCAACAGCAGCATTCACCTCAGCAGATCAGCTACAGTTCCTTCAATCTCCAGCACTATGGCTCTTCCTACCCGACCATCACTCGCTCCCAGTATGACTACACAGACCATCAGAGCTCCAATACCTACTACAGCCATGCTGCCAGCCAGAGTTCCAGCCTTTATTCTACATTCACTTACATGAACCCCACCCAGAGGCCCATGTACACCCCGATTGCAGACACTACGGGGGTACCTTCCATTCCTCAGACCCATAGCCCACAACATTGGGAACAGCCAGTCTATACACAGCTCACCAGACCATAAAGTTCTGAAGGATGGTGTCAATTCTCCAGACTTACAAAAAATATTTTAAAGCTAAAAATGAATGGAAGAGAGGAAAAAATATCCCAGAATGCATTGTGCACTACAGCACCCCTTCAGAACTGACCAGATTATTCTCAGTCAAGAAACATTCCATGATGGACTAAATCCTTTGATTTGAAGGCAGTTTTTTATTTTCTTCAAACAGCCAGCTTAGCTTGCATAGGTATGAACTTGTTAATTATTTTTTAACAATAACTAAAAATGAAAAAATATAAACTCTAAAAGTATTCCTCTGTGAGGAATATTCTCTATTTTAAATATTTTTAGTATGTATTGTGTATGATTTGTTACCAATATGATGGGATTTATACGTACTTGTTTTTAGAGAAACTTTTAAAAACTGCTTTTTTCTTTTTGGGGGGTGGGTGGGATGGGGACAGTTGAACCACACTTAGCAAAAGAATATGCCTTAGCTTTTTTCCCTGCTGTCAGAGGTATTTTTCTATAGTTAACAGTCACTTTTAGAGACTAAAATGTGTGCATTAAAAATCAAGGAAAAGGAAATTTTGAGGAAAGGAAAGAAGTGCCCATTATCATGATTGTGGGAATTTGGAAAGAGACTTCTATTTTTCTAGCATGGAAATAAAATACGGGGAGAAAAAAATAAAGAAAGAAAAAGCAAGGATACCTTGAGCCTTAAACTAACACTATCAGACGCCTTAAAGAAAAATCCTGTGAAATCTTCCAAAAGACTTGCACAATTATCTTCCACCCTGCCAAGGGAAAAAATGGAACTCCCAAGAAGAGAGCTCAGTTTTACAGGTCTGAAGCTTTTTAATTATTATTATTATTTTATTTGCAACTACAAGCACCAAGTTATAAAGCCAGAACCAGCATTCTCTACCTTGATCCCTTTTCTTCAGCTTCCAACACCAGGCCAACATTTGTGAGACAAATGCGGTCACTCAAAAAACCAAGAGTCTTCCCTGTAAATTGCATGAAAAACTAGAATTCTTTATTCCATGAAGACAGCTTACAAAAGAAGGAAATGGGAATGACACAGGGACACCAGCTTTAGCAAGGTTCATGGATGACAGTAGTAGGTGGTTTTTCTTCTTTTAAAATTATATATATTTATTTTGTGAAAAAGATGTTTTTAATCAAGAGGTTTGTTTTTCAATTTCCCCCCTTCCACATTAGAAATCTTTGTAATGTAAACAGAAATACCAGCATCTTACTCAGAGGGTATATGGTGCCTAATTGTTAAATTATGGTCTAAATCAATAACCCTTTATTTATCTCTCAGTCTTTGTTTTTGTATTTTATTATTCCTTTGGAAAGTGTCTTAGGTTTGTACAAATACCTGGCTCCCATTTGTCTTTCTATCTTTTCTATTTCTTTGGTAAGAATAAACTGGAAAGCTTTTGTGTTGTTTTTCTCATTGTACAAACAAAGCATGGCTAATTAGTGTATCACTGAGTTATTTCTCCCTGAATATTTTTGGACTCATGATTTGGACCGGACTAAATTAATGGAACAGTATGCAGAGCAGAGAAAGTAAGAGTGGACTTGAACCACTCTTTTGTTTATGAAAAATCCCCCAGGTTAAAGCCAATCAGCAAACCTTCCTTTACATGCGGATGTCTGACTTGCAGGGATTTCATTTTGCATGACGGAACATTTAACTAATTTCTTAAATTGCTATCCAAAGTGGTCCAATCCACTGTATCACCTTAAGGTTCCACCTCTTTATCCTTTTTTCCGGGTAGGCCTAGGCTTATTCTGCATAAGTGAAGCAAAGCAACAGTGAATGTAAATCAACAAAGCAGGGAGGGGCACATTTCCATTAGGGCTTTATTTATCTGTCCCTTGAAGGTGCCATAGATAGATCTATTCCAGCAGAATAGATGCTGCTGGAACCACCAGACAATGGATGCTTCTCAATTTGCCTAACCAGGCTTTCACTTCATTTGGGAGGAAAATTAGGGAAAGCGACACTGGTGAACTTGTGGCCAAACAGTTAAAATATTGCTTTGGGAAAAAGTTAGCCAACTTTTTTTATTTTAAAATATTATATTTGTTAATTATTTTATAGGGAATTCAGTAGAAGAAAAGCTTAAAGCACTCTTATCATATGATATCTTTTCTACTTCTATATTAAAAAAAGCAGATCTCTTGAAAGTATTTCTGTAACTTAAGTAATGTCCTTTCAAAAAGATTAGTTTTAGATAAAAGAACACTTTTTCAGTCATTTTGTTTGCAAACCCTTTGGGTCTCTGTAAAACTTATCTTTTTGTATATTATTGTTTGCAATAAATATACATTGTATTAAACTTGGAATGAAATAGCTATTTTAGCTGCAATTCCAGAAGGGATCCTAACTATCCTAGCGAAGATGCATTGTTTTTGTTTGATGCAATTACATCTACTGGTGACCTAACCTATGCAATATACTGGAAAATGTGTATACTGTTCTGACCAAAGTCGAATTTGGAGTGTACAGCATTACCCATCTACAACTCTTTAAGGCACCTGCATCTTTTCCTGGGAACACATGGTTTGGAAAAGTCACAACTGGTTTAAAGAGTAGAACGTGTTACATTCATCATAGTAGTTTTGGAACTGGGTCTAGAGACTTATACAACCCTATTCTATAATAACATCGCTATCAGTTTACAAATTATCACAAAATTAGCTAACCAACTTTTTGGGGTTGACAGCCTGTTTAGATGTGTTGCTTGCTAATTCTCTTGCAAAATAAATGGAAGGAATCATGGATGTTCCAGCATTTAAAACTACTGGAGGTTTTATTTTCTCTGTTTATCATTCCAGGTTCATTCAGGTTCATTCCAGTTCTTACACAACCTGAAAATACCATTTTCTTTTCAGCACATGATTACATGTGATGGGCAATGTTACATAGATTAACTTAGTCTTGTTGTCTTCAGAATGCACAGAAATACCTGACCAATTCCAACATCTTTGACCAAACAGCATTTTTCTAAAGGAATTACAAAAACAAGGTTGAATGCTTCAAGACTCAATTTGAAAACCATGTAATACAAAATTTGGAACATTTGCTGGGCCTTATTTAAAATGGTTAAGGAAATATGATTCGGAAACATAAGTTAAAATTTGTATGATTAAATGGATGTAGCATTGAAAACTATGCACAACAGTGGGAATTTCAGTGGAATAAAAAAAAAGTAGTAGTAAATATCATACTTAGAGAAAACTGGTATAAAATGTATTGCAAATAATATACCACTCCAGTATGGATTGTTAAAGATGGTTATTACATTTTCTTAAAAAAAAGTATGTGAAGTGTAACTATCTGGTTACTTCTTACTCTCATATTAATGGCAATGTATAAAGCCCAGGAATTTGGAAGAAGATCTATAACAGAATGAAACTGATTCTAAAAGCTGAGTTTCCTTTCCAACTTGCAATCTTTCTATTAGATATTACTAAAACTTATTTATACAGAGCATACTGAATTACCTTTGTACATGCCAACAGTATCTAGGGTACCTTACATTTCTCATTAGAAAATACATACAATTCCTATAATAGATAAAGAGCAAATACAGTATGCTTCATTGTCTAAGATGACTTCACATTTTAAAAATAAATCTGACCCAGAATTTAATTTAATGTGGAAACTAGGTTTGGACTATAATTCTACCCATGGACTTGTACCATATCTGAAGTCTAGGCTAGTTGTTATTTAAGGCATAGATGTTTTTGTAAATCAAAGTAGATTTTTTATAAGATAGGACTAATTTTTCACTTTAACTTCATCAATTTGAATAATATTTTCAAAATGACATAGGATACTTAAATCTCTGGGTGAAATGGGCAGTTTAGAATAGGAAATATGAATATTGAGGACTAAACTTTATCCTCAGGATGTGTACTTAATTTACTTACTCATGTGATCCTTGTAAATCTCTTGTTTATTCACTTTGTGTTTTCATTCTTTTCTCCTGGTTTCTGTTTCTTTCTTTCTGCCTTCCTTTTTTCCTTTAAAAAGTTCAATTAAAAATATTTAAAAATGGGTAAAGGCAACCAATTTATGAGCAAAGGATGCTAAAGTGCATGCACTGGCTCATGCTCCTACCTGTCATTCATATGAACCACTGGCCACACCCATTGGGCAAGTCCCCTTCTACCACCCTTCATTCAGAAAAAAAATGATCATATATGGATGGTACTGAAGGCTGAGGCAGCCAGTTAGAAGAGAACAGCAGGTGCTTTTCAGATGCTTTTGGAGTTCATCCTCCATAACATCTGTCTTTGGCTATTCTGCCTGGAGCAGATGGGAGTTTGACCTTCCTTTGCCTAGCTCTATGGTTAATGCAATACAAGCCCACATTTGGCCTCACAAATCTCAAAAAGACTTGCACTTGCCAGCTTTAGGCTGGATGGCTGCCTGGAACAGAAACCTGGCTAAGTAACACATTGCCTTGTTGAAGGTAATGACGATGGAAGGATACAAGGTAGACTGCTTGCTTTGGCATGAATCACCTAGGGAGTTCACAGGATCATACTGGCTTGCAAATCCTCTCCAGCAAAACAAACAGATGAGGTCATTCCTTGAACTTCTGGGTTTTAATCTAAACTGCTGCTGCTTAGTGATTTTCTTGCTCTCAAAGCATTGGTGGAATTTCTCCCCACACAGATCTTGCTCGTGGCATGAACAACAGAAAAAGTTAGCTGCCCATGAAAAGCGAGATATGATTCCATCCAAGAGCTGCAGTAAAGCCAGAATAATGGTGGTCTTTTCCAGCCGGAGATGTCGATAAACAGTTTAAGGAGAAAACAACAACAATATAATCTGTTTTATCAAGTCAACTAATCACTGCTTCTGTTGTTAAGGGAAAAAAAATAATATTTTTGTGTTTTGGAGGGGTCCGATAGTCAGCTGCCTTAATTTCATTTTAAAGACAAGGAGGACAGATGAGTTTCAACAAGGAAACATTGAGGGAAACAATATGTTTTGGAGAAGTTACCAGTCTTGGTAAGAAAGGATGCAAAAATAATTCTTAGCACCAGCAGTAGCAAAACATGGTTAGGCCAAAATGACAACATGCTCATGATGCCATCGGGCAAATCCCAGCATTTATGTATTTGTGTCCTTTCTTTTGTCACAGGTAAATTGTACAAGTAGCATGATGACGATGACGTGTATCTATTGTCATTTTCCCCTCTTCCAAACCTCTCCTACAAAATGCCCAGGAACTATTCTGACATAAACTGCTATTCCATTATTTTATTTTATTTATTTTTTTGCTAAAAAACATTGGAAAGAAATCCCAGCTCCCTTTAATTTGTCCAATGTATCTGGAAAGAAAAAAAAAATCAGATTTTATTATTTAAATTCTTAAGCCCAGAGAGAGAGGGAGACAAACATATCCTAGCTGGAGAAACAGACCATCTAAGTAAAATCTTTGACAAAAACTGTGATTTTAAATCAAAAAATAATAATCCAAGAACTTGATGAAATCCTCCCACTATCTATGGTAGTCCTTTAACTTTGTACCATCTATGACTCCAATTTAAGAACAACTTCCGACACCTTTTCATTTTACCACATGACACTTTGCTTCCAACTCTGCCTCCCTTCTCTTTTGTAACTCCTTGTTTTTAATTCCCTATCCAAGACTCCAAAAGTCTATTGTAAGTTCCAACTCAGCCAGAAAAAAGATAGAAAAGATACCCTGACTGCACTGAACAGTGCAAAGAAATAAGTAAGAATTGTTAATTGCCATGAAGGAAGTGGTCCCGTAAATCAGATGACTAGTTCATTCTTGGTCCCACTAAGTAAAAGTTTCATAAAGAATATTTTTCTTTTTTTTCCCTCTTGCAGAATTAAATGATTATTATTACATGGTTACTTACAGCTAGATAAGCAGTTATATTATTAATTATATTTGTATGTTCTGTATGCAAACACACATTGATATTAAATACTTTTAAATATTTTTAAAATGACTTTCATTCCACATAATAAAATATATATTCTTTGCTGTTCTGGTTGAAAAGAAAAAAACAGTCACTGTTATTAGAAAACCAATTTAGTGGTCTGAAATGTAACTGCATCTATTCAGGGACCAGTTTGCATCCAGATTGCACCTTATATATGTTCCCATGCATACAAAAATGGAGAGTGATAGACATAGAGGAATAATTCTGGTCTCTCCCAACAAAATTAGGACGTCTGGCCATCCATATTTGTCTCTTTTCTTCACTGCCAGCTCATTACTGTACTCTGAAAGGGCCGGGCTTCAGGGAATGGGTGGGTGGGTGTCAACTGAGATCTTAATAGGGATGCCTAATCAGCCAAATTCAGTTAATTGGGCAAGTCCAGCCCTTTCCTGTTTAAAAAAATTCCTTATATTCATGCAATCAGACTTTCAACTAAACCCACCACCAGGAATTCGATTTGGTGTGTTCAGAATGATTTTTGAAACCCTCTGGTCAAAATAATATGCCAGAGATTCAAACTGGAATCAATGATCTTCGTGCTGCTTGTTGTATCAAATCCCGTTTTGCAAATAACATTTAAGGGCCAAGCCAGAATTGTTCTTTTCGTCCTAGCTCTGTTCTAAAGACTGTCTATTTTGGGAGTTTGATGTGACCCTGACAGATGTTCTCTTGAGAAATGTATAATCTGAATTATAGAAATAGAGTGCTTTTATAGTAACTTCTCTTTCAAAATGATGTTTTGGATTCATATTTGTTTGTAAGTTAAAGCACATGTGCATGTTCATGATATCCTTATCAATTTTAGGGTAGTTTGGGAAACTAAATCAGTTCAAAGGTATGAACCAAGACAGTTTTTAACTCTCATAAATTCCGAAACAAACATCTTTCCCATAATATCCCTCACCTATAAATATTTCCCTGCTAGTGCAGTGACCTCTATGTCACTTCTTGGTTTTAAAGGCTAATAGTTCCACTGCAGATATTCCATTAAAGAAAAATAGCGTCTACATATATAGTCAGCAAAAGTGTAAGGGAAAGATCAACCATATGAATGCACGAAATGAAAATGAAGTTTAAAAGGCAGACCTGGCTCAACTAACATAAATCTTCAACAACATCTGCCTTATGATGACTCTTAAATATTTCCAAATCCAAATCACCTGTGCAAAATATAGCAGCCTTCTGATCGTGTGAACCCAGTGATGCTGTTGTTACATTTCTTGAGGGAATCAGCTTCTAAATATCACCAATAGCAAACATAAATTTCTGACTCTTTCCATATCTCGATTTCTTTTTGTGAAAGAAAGCAATCTTCAAATCAAAAAAAAAAAAAAAGATGTAGATAGAGATGAGTTAACATACTATGGAATCAGACAAGGATTTGCAGATTATTTTAAATGAAGAATCAAGGGCAGCACTATGGAATTCACTTGCTCCCTATGTACTTATTCATATCTTTAAATGGTTCTCAGAGAACTTGTCCTCTGCCTTGCCTTTAACTTAATCTTAAAATATCATGGTACAGGTCTCTCATGTAATGGCCCCAATTTGTGACTTCATGAAGCTCTGTATTTTCATACAGCTTTTGAACACATCCTTCAGATGGAATGGGACAACGTACCACAGCCAACTTGCTGTGGCCAATTCGCCACAGCCAACTCACCATGGCTAACTTGCTGCAGGACAACTTGTCATGGTCAACTCGACATGGCACAACTTGGTGCAGGGCAATTTAACAATTCTATTTAATTATTAAAAACAAATAATTATTTTAATTTTGGCCATTCACATATCATTCTGTCCTTTCTTTTGCATCCTTTCTTTAATGATTTTATTCCACTATTTCTTTGATATTAGTGTAACTCTTGTCCTGCAGCGAGTTGGCCGGGCAAATTGTCACAGACCCTCCTCAGAACCTGTTTGACCAAGACCTTTATTGCTTTGATAGTTTATGAGCTTATTGCATTTTAATTTGCAACTCATATAAAGATTTTGTTTTTAAGAAAAATCATTTTGGGAAGCTTGTTCTAAAAGAGGGGATATATTGAAAAAAATGAAAGATGAGAAGGGGGGAAGTATATAACACCAAGGTTTGCCCAATAGTATGACGGAATGCTAGAGTGTGATGGGGACATTTAGGCTAACAATTTCGCTCAGTGCAGGAATCAAACTTAAAATATCCTAGACAGATGGCTGTCTGCTTTGGTTGCAACTTATTTAAGGAAGGAAGCTCACCACCTGTCTGGACAATTGGTTCCACTGCTAAACTGTTCTTAGTGTTAGCAAGTTTCTATTAACATTCAGTCAGAACCTGCCATCCTGAAACTTAAATCCATTATTCCATAACTTGCACTCTGGAACTAGTTGAAGCAGGCTTTTATCTTCTTCTATCTAACATTCTTTCAGAGACAGTAAACCCTCAGTTTATCAGCCCTTGATACCAAAGAGTGCAATGATGTACAGTATATTGCCACAATGTTGTACTATTATATTTAATAGATATTCATAAAAAATACTAAACATCAAGTTAGTTTGCTAAAATGCTGTTTCACTGTATTTGAAGAATGCTGCTCTATATGCCCTTTGTCTTCTTTTCTCAAGAGTAGACTTACTCAAATACTTCAATCAAATATCAATATCAATATCAAATACTGTTTCTAGCACCTTAATCATCCTGTTTGCTCTTCTCTGAACTTCTAGAGATAACTTGAAAAGCTCGCAATAGGTATTGAACCACAATTTTTACATCCATGCATTATTTCCTTGATCCTAATTGCAATTCTTTTCTGCACTTTCCAAGTCTATCTTATTTTTTTTACTTATATTTTTGAATTTATATTTAATTTTTTTTAAAAAAAATCTCAAAGTGCCATGGGATGCCATGAATTTTAGCATACACAATGATAAAATTCCATCAGTGATCTGTATGAAAGCGTTATGATATTGTCCTTCATTTATTTCTTTTCCCAAAGATACCACCATAGAAATACCTTTTCTACAGCTGTTGCCCACAGCTGTCCACAATTTCTCCTTAATCCTTTTCTTAATCAATTACTACAACTTACAACAGAGACTCTATCACAACCATATGCCTCAATTGCTCAAACAGAATTGCAATCTTCATCCTTCCATTGTAAGAACAATACATTTATGAATTAGTTAGGTACATTGAGTTGGACCAGCAACTCTATGAACAAATATCAATTATTTCAAATTATCCCTGCAAATGTGCAATGACCTTGAGCATCCAGTTTTCACCTTTGTTGTCATAGACATATCATTGTTGTTCATGATGTTTTGTATATTTACCAATCCTTTCCTCGCTGGAATTGATATCTTTATTCTCCAAGTATTCGCCAAATCTATTTTTAAGCTCCCAAAACAATGATCTACCATGTTCATACCTTTGATGTCAACTGTAAATTCACTTTGGAATGATTGGAATTTCATATGTATTTTTTTTTTTTTAATTTGATTTATATGCCGCCCTTCTCCGGAGACTCAGGGCGGCCTACAATGTGCTAAGCAATATTTAACATTAACATTAATTTACTTTCATAATTGCTTCTAGGACTTCTTTATTTTCCAGTAGCCAAGTCATATGTAGATGACACCACACATTCCAGTTTTCATTTCAGCTGTCATTTCTTCAAATCCTTCTATTCTAATTACCTATTTGTTTAAATTAAACAGCTTGGGAATAACCCTCCCGAGCTCCGTTTTTGCTGACAGAGGCACCATGGGCCATTTCCATTTCCAGGGGGCCCTGCTGGCAAAGACAACATGGGCCATTTCCAAGGTGGGCCAGATCTAAGCAACCCGCGGGCCAGATCCGGCCCCCAGGCCTTGATTTAACATCCTGCTATAGACTGATTCCATTTGAGATCACCTTCAGACCCAACTGGGAGGGGACTTTGATGAGATATAAAGAGTGCAATGGATTCAGAAGGGCAAAATCAGAGTGAAATGAGGCCTATGCTAATGCTTATGATGTAAGCATGCTCCACAGACTGTTCTAATACACATCTACATCTGAATGACACCAGAATAGACCTGAGTACAAAGCTACCATTACCACTAAATAATACATGCATTGTTGAGATAGCCTTCCTATGACCTTCCTCCCTTTTGTATTCATTTTCTGGTTTACAGCAGCACTCCAAAACAACTTTGTGCCATTAGATTGCCTACCTAGCATCCTTGTTCCTACTGATGAAAACACTTTATACAAACCTTCAGGTCTCTATATATTGTTTTAAGGCCCAACTCAAAGGGGTAATGGTAGCCTGTTATTAAATAGCTGCAAGCTTATCTCTGGGATGCGAGTCAAATGCTTTAACTCTTGATAGCCATTGCTTTCAGTTTCCATTAAAAAAAAAAATAGGAACTTGCTCCATGCATCTTCCATGAACATGTAGTTGGCCATACAAGGAATTTGATCTTGGGTCTCCCCAATATATTCCATTCAATATAATTTAGTTTCCCTCACTCCTTGATATTTTATAGTAGTCCTAGGGCTGTGCTCATTCTGGATACAGAGAAAATGTTAAGAAACAGATGGTGTAAGTGTGAAATTGGGCTTTCCCCTAGACATGGGGACTAATTACACCAAGTTGCTTGACCATCAAACCGCTATCAACACACAGTCTCACTTCATAAATTTTAAGCTGCTAATAACAGGACTGGACAGAAGTTTTAAAGCTTCAGTAGGCAGTTTAAAATTAACTTACTCCCTTTCGGTGGAGAAAACAACCAATGTAATTCCAGCACTGCTTCTTAAATTGCTTAGATTCCCATGGCACCCCTTGAAAAGGGCATGGCAGAATCTCCATGAAATATCCATATTATGAGCTCAACTCAGTGACCAAAAGTCCCTAAGACAGGGAGCCAAAGTCCATGCTATGCTGGGAGATCATGACGGATTTCTCAATTGATGCAGTCGTGAGAAGTAGGGATAGCTGATTTGATGAAGAAAACAGTAAGAGGGGTTTGCTGAATTTAAATTTTGCTTGTTGCTACTTTCCTGATCTCAATTGCTGTCCTCAATGTTCATGGCCTTATGTGTTAATGCAAGTGAGAAATACAGTTGATTGGCATGGTGCTTCCCCCCCCCATATGGAGGAAATAACATTACCTCAGCTGCCACACTGCTTCTTAACTCAATCAACAATACGCCAACATTCTTGGCTCATGCTACTTCATAATTGCACTGAACTATCATCTGCTAAATAATGTATAATGACTTATTTCACACATAAGGCAAAGCTATAACCTTGATGCACAATTTTTATTAGACTGGTTATCACAGTTGGCTTTTGACAAGCCAGGTGCCAAAATCCTAAAAGTAGGAGGAGATTTAAAGGGAAACCCCCACCACCACCATTTTTTAACATAAAAATGAAATTAAAATTACAGGTTATAGAAGGATGACTCTCAATAAACTCTCTTACACTACATTTTGGAGTTTTTTAAAACCATAACAAAAGGTGCAATGGCCTCTGGTTGTACTGCTCTTATAAATTATAGTTTAAACCATAATGACCGAATTTCAGACATCACACTAAGCCCAAACCAAACAAATTGCATTATTGCCCATTGTTTAAACCCAGCAACTGTAGCTGCTACTGGAAAAATTGGTTACAGATGTCCCAGTGCATTGTGTAATCTGACCCAAATTCCTTGTCTCCTAATGTGACTGCTGCTATGGAAGTGTTTGAACTCTTACAGTTCTGTTCAGAACTATGGATTCCCTTGCCACTTACCACTTACATTACTGGAAGAACAAGTTTTTAAAGGAAGGAGAAGTTACATGCCTTCAGGTTTTAGGCATATGTTATTGAGCAGATTCCTCACTCACCATAATAGTATACCAAATGGGGAAATAGGGAAATCAAAGGACAGAAATGGTTTCCCTTTATTTTCAGAAATTTCACTTATATGGATTCTGCAACACCAGCCCATTCCCTGATTTTTTGGAGTGGTATTTGGTGGGACCTGAAGCCATCTGTTTCTTCAAACACAGTTGCCATCTACTGAAGTCACGTGCCAAGGTTAGGCCTGGAGCCTTTCTCCTGTAACTTTCTTGAGGCATAATAGGATCAACTTGTTAGTTCCGTTTTCTGGGAAAAAGCAATTTTACTTTATGCGATTTGTCAAAATGATTTTTAGATATTAAAAAAGCAGAATGAATAACAGTGCATCTTAAAATTACAGTGTCAAAAAGATAAGTAATTTCAAAGGAAAATGCATACCCATACCTATTTGGTATTTGTGGCTTTAAGGGTTCTTAATATGCATATTAACATATGCAG